CTTTCCAGAGCGGCTCGGCCTCGGTGTACCTGGAGATTCAGTGGTGGTTCCTGCGGGGACCAGAGGACCCTGAGCCTGGCGCCGAGGTAGCAGGCGCGCAGGTAGAGCAGCGTGTCCGGGTACCCGTGGGCGCCCTCCCTCCATCCCACTGCCCCTTCCTCTGATGCTCCCTGGGGTCCAGGGCCCAGTCCGGGGTCTGGACCCCCCTTGAGATGCTCAGAGACCTGGGGACTGAGGCAGACTTCATGAGAACCCTGGGTTAGAGAAGGAGTGAAGGAAAGGAGGGGATCCTGCTTCTCTGTCCCCTTCTCCAAGCCAGAAGCCCATCTCTCTCCTCCAACCCTATTTCTGCAGGTTTCTGGTGGCTTGGCGGTGCTGTCACCGTGAGGGAGAGCAGGGTTCGGCCAGCGCTCAGCCCTGGGGCTAGGGCTCCATCCCCGCGGGCAGAGAGAGGTGGCCTGGAGGTGCAGGGAGAGGGGGTGGGAGGGAGGCGGTGTGCCCAGGCTGAAGGGAACGGGTCAAAGAGGGTACCCCCAGAGACCCCAGGGACTTGAAAATGATGCGGAGGAAAGAAGGATGGAGGGAGAAAAGGGGACAGGCGCGGGGGGGAGGGGGGCGGGTGGCGGAGAGGGAACAGGTGCAGGGAGGGTGGAGGGGGTCAGGCGCAGGGAGGGTGGAGAGGGGTCAGGCACAGGGGGGAGGTGAGGGGACAGGCGCAGGTGGGGGCCCGCCAGCGCGCACACGCTGCCCTTTAGGGCGTCGAGGCGTCGACTCCCCGGTCAGCGGCTTTCCAGGGCACCGCCTCTGCGCCCCTGTCCCCCACCCTGCGAGCCGCGCCCCCGCCGCTGGCTCCGAGCCTGCGAGCCCGGCCAGCCCAGGCGCGGGCGGCGGAGACGAGGCGGCGGCCTCGCGCGCCACCTGCCGCCGGCGGGGCGGCCTGTCCCCGGGGCCCGGCGCAGGTGGGGGGTGCGGGGGTCCCGAGGCCGCCCCCGAGCCGCTGCCCAGCGCGAGCCTTCCCGCCCTGCAGGTGGAGCCGGTGCCCGAGCGCGACCCGGACGGCGACGGGACGAAGATCAGCGTGAGTACCTGGAGCGCCGGCAGGGGGCGCCCTTCCCGCCGGGCCGGGCCGGGTCGGGGCTGCCAGTCGGGGTGGGGGGCGGGGAGCACTTGGATTTACCGCCCTGGAGGAAGCGATTTGGCAAGCACAAGACTGTAGTGAACTATGAATTTAAGTCGATTTATGGCTGATAAAATAAAATTCCTTAAGCATGTATTTTTTAAATAATTGCTAGAGAATTATTTCGCCGTCCAAGGGGGTGTGTAAATATTTTTCTGCTCCCTCGCTAGTTATGCAGGGCTACGAATAAAACACTGCACTCTGCTCAGTTCCACCTAAAACTGTAGAAGCAGTCATCCGTTTAATAGGAATAGAGAGCTAATATACAAAAATCTTACAATGAACGAAAATATTAAAACAGCCAAATGAGATGTTGAATTTTAAGACAGACAATTCAGTTATCAATATAAAACCCATAGTGCACACAATGAATTCCTACTCTCTGTGTTAGTATAATATAATAATAATACCCTGTGTTAGTATAATATAATAATAATAGTATAAATAAAATATATAACCAAAAGACTGTATCAATATTAAATAAAGATTTACCTGTTGAAGATGCAGTCATGATTTTTATTTTTCTCGTTAGTAGTTTTAATCACTATGTGTGAAATTAGAAAATAATATGAAGATCTTGTTTCTAATTATATCTCAAAGTCATATAGAATCATTTTATTCTGACAGAACCATTTGGCTGATTGATAAATAGTAAATATATTTCCATTACTTGAAATAATGTTAAAATAACCCAAATCTTTAAAATAACAATAAAATATAAATAGATGAACATATGTACGGAGTGTAAAAATGCAATTACACACATTTTTAATGTGAGTTTTTTTTTTAATTTTTATTAGTGAAACACCATGAAGTACAGCTGTAGACTTACAAATTTTTGTGCTAGGGTTTCGATTATACAATGATCAAGTACCAATTCCTCCACCAGTGCCCATTTTCTACCACCATGGATCCCAGTAACCCTTCCACCCCCATCCCCCCCACCCCACCCTGCCTCTGTGGCAAGGCATTCCCTTTTGTTTTCTCTCTCCTTTTGGGTGTTGTGGTCTGCAAAAGAGGCATTGAGTGGCAATCATGTTCGGTCCATAGTATACTTTCAACATGCCTCTCCCATCCTGGGAGGATCCAAATGTGACGTTTTTAATAGCATAAAGTGATATAAATTGGGGTTATGTCATACTTACATGGGGAAAAATATAATAGGATCAGATTGTGTAATCTTATTATTTTATCTCAATTTTTTAAAACCAAGCAAACAGATATAAAACAAACTTTAATTTTTAATTCATAAAATCACCACCTTTTAGAAATTCCAAATAAATTATTTTTCTATCATAGAAATACTTGCTTTCAGGCAATTATTATATATTGCAAATTATAATATAAATTATAATTATATTGAAAATTTTACATTGATTAGATCACTTATAAACAATATTTTATTAAATTTTAATATAAATTGCTATAATTATGTTTCTTAAGTATTTCACATAAGTGGTTAGGTTTATGTTGATTAGGGAACTTCCACCATTCACCCTTTCCCATATTCTCCAAAGTAATGAAATATCGAAGTAATTCTATACAGTCCTAACCCAGGGAAACTTCTACTCAGATACATAAACACATATGCAAATGCCTCCTGCATTCCAAGCCAATAATTAATGAAATGTCATAGATTGCAGCTAGTTCTAGATAGAGATTAATGTAGAAAGTTCCTTGTTTCCCATGAGTAGTGTCATCTCTCGGGAGCAAACTTACTGCTCTTGCATAAAGCCAAGTGAGATTGTTTTCTGACAGGTCTCCAGACAATTCTAACATGTAATATTCAAATTAATATTCAAATTAGTCCCCAAATACTTTGTGAATATAAAAACCAAGAATAGTCATGTTAAAGAAAGATGTTGCAATACTAGATAAATATACAATTTAATCTTATGGGGCTAACATTTTAATTAAAGGTGATACTCTTCAAAAATAAAAATGATTCAGTAACCCTATCTACCTTCACCTCAATTTACTCAAAAAATGTGATAATAAAATATAAATACTACTGCACTGTAGCACTGTCCTCCCGTTGTTCATAGATTTGCTTTAGCAGGCCCAGTAATGTCTCCATTGTGAGACTTGTTGTTACTGTGTTTGGCATATGAATATGTCACAGGTAGCTTGCCAGGCTTTGCCCTGTGGGCAAGATACTCTCAGTGGCTTGCTGGGCCCTCCTAGAGGGGCTGAGGAATTGAACCCGGGTCAGCAGAGTCGACTACATGCAAGGCAAATGCCCTACCGCTGTACTATCGCTCCAGCCCAATAAAATATAAATAGTACCTCAGATTGTATGTAGGTAATAAGATTATTTTTGAAAAAATTAACTTCCATTATTTTAGTAGTATTAGTATCTGATCTGTAGTTTTGCATATAAATTAATATATAGTTATGGTTCAAATGTGAAACACTATTTTGTATACAACTATAGAGATGTATATGTTAAAAAGAGATTACTGTTTCTCAAATGTCCTGAACTATTTATGGCCATTTGAAAATACAATGATCAGTGGCAAAATAACTTTCTGCCTTCATTATTTTTCGTTATCCTTCCAAACAGTCAAATCTTTAAGTCCTGAATTTCTTATGAGATCAGTCATTCTGTTAGTCAGGAATAACATAGAATATATGTCATATCTAGATCTCCCAATAAAGATCTCTAAGGATATATTTAGATACATATGTGTATCTATATTGTATATAAAATTATGTATTAAATATTAGTTATTACATACAATCAATCATATGAAAATATAATATTGATATTAATCTGGCCTATGACTATTAGGAGATAAAAGAGTTCATTTAAAAAACCAAATCAATATTTCATTGATGTTACCTCAACATCCAGCAATTTAAAGTACAAATAATATTATAGGTATGCAGGGGAGTCATAAGACTTCAAGTGAGATAAACCAGAAATTTGGAACATGCCACCCTTGGACTATAGTTTAGACTGCACAAAACTAGTCTGGAAAGAAAAATCTTTAACTTTCCAGACTATTTTGTCAGTGTGTTTAGTAGTCATTTCAATGTGAAGATAAAAACAAATAATCATTTAAACTTGAGGTTGGTCTCAATGATCAGAATAATTTGGTAATCTCTCTGAGTTGCAGCATGTGTGGAAAGAGATGTAAGCTATAGATTTGCTCTCATTAGGTCTATTTGACTCAGCTGAGTTAACGAAGCCAATCCATGATTAGAAAATAGCAGAGTTGCTATTCGAACCTGGGATACCAGGACCGTGTGGGTAATGGAATTTGGCCCTGACTGGATTGAACTAATTATTCCATGATTTTGTGAAGCAGTTGTTAGTAGATTAGAATAAATTGGATCTGTGCTCTGATTGCTGAGAAAATAGAAAGCTCTCTGACTGTGCCCAGTAAGACCCTTTAATTTCTAGAATTAACAAGCTTAGGACAAAGTATGGGGAGGGAAATCATTTGATGTAGCACTTTACCTTTTTTACCTGCAATTTTTCAGACAGTGAAAGTCCAAGGGAATGACATTTCTCACAAGCTTCAGATTTCCAAAGTGAGGAAAAAGGATGAAGGCTTATATGAGTGCAGGGTGACAGACGCCAATTACGGAGAGCTCCAGGAACACAAGGCCCAGGCCTACTTAAAAGTCAATGCCAACAGCCACAATCGCAGGATGCAGGCCTTTGAAGCATCACCCATGTGGCTGCAGGACGTGAAGCCCAGGAAGAACGTCTCGGCAGCTGCTCCCAGCAGCCTCCACAGCCCTACAAACCAGCGAACGCACTCCACCTCCAGCCCTCAAGTGGTAGCCAAAATCCCCAAACAAAGTCCACAATCAGGTATGGAAACTCATTTTGAGCTTTCATTTACCGCTCACAAAACTTCACAGGAAGATCGGTCAAGTAGAGCAAACAGATTTATGTATGGTGTACTTTAAGTTGGAGCCCTAGTTTAGTGGAAGTAATGATGTGCTGACGTAGAGCCCCAGGCTTGCCTTCATAAAGGGTGCGAGTTGCCTATTAGTCACTGGCAGTGCATCATGTTCAGGAGATTGAAGGTCTGGACTTTTGTTCTTTCTGTATTTATACATAATAAGAACAATAAATCATGTCATGCGGGTTGCATTATAAATGCAGGTTCTTTTTCTCCACAGATTTATGTATCCATAATGACCCAAATTATGAGACTTTCACTTAATCAAAATGTAAGTGAAAGAGACATCATATTTTCAGCGACCCATAGCTTTAAGCATAACTATTCTTCAAGCAAGGGCTTTTGATTGTGAAGGAGAAACTTCAGCTGCTTGTAATGAAGTGATGATGCTAATGGAGGAAGTGGTGGGGTGGGGGAGAATGAAAGGCAGTGAGTAGTGAAGAGATAAGGCAACTCCTGTAACTGTGCCTTTGACGCCAATTTAGAAGCTTAGTCACACATTTCCTAAGTCAGCTGTGCAAGTTAAAGCTGTTCTGAATAGCATTAATTTATGCAATCATTCAGCCAATGGAAGCTCATTGATGCTTTAACCTTGATGTGGGATAAAAGTTTCTTGGAATGAGCAGTACCCTGCATGACCCCCAAATGTTTTTTTCTCAAACACTTGTCATAACATAGGATTAAGGAAACACAAACATATGTAATGTTGTTTTCTCTTCATATTTTAACATTGACTCTTGAATGTACTGTTGGTGATAAAAATCGTAGTCCTTAAGTGCAGGGTATCAAAATACCTGGTCATTTCATTGGGATGATTTCACATATCATGTATATTTGATTATGAACCACTTTTTAAAGAATGGTTTCAACATTGGTTCCCTTTTTGTACTTCACATGCTAATGGAATCGTTTATTGGAGCTTAACTTAGCATTCCTGTGAGTGTGTTTACTTCGAAATGGAGTTGCAATATTATCCTAATATGTTTTGGTCTTGGAAATTCATGTCAGACTAAGAAATAGCTAGGTTGGCTTCTCTGAGGGTCATTCTGTGTGGATTTGTCTTGTTTTCTTCATAAGCATCTATTTTGTTTTTCAATTTAAAGAATACATATATGTACACATTTGTATGTACCTCATCATTTTAATTTTTGTAACTATAATCCGATCAAATATACTCATTTATTTAGTATCCTTCCTTGCTCTCTCCCTTTCACTCTTACAAAATAAGTTACACTTATAGGAAAAATTGTAGCGTAGCCTTAGTAGACGATTTACAATATAATTAGTAAGAGCTCTAAAATATGGAAGTGAAATTTTTAGCTTACATAAGAACATACCAAGCTAGATATCATAAATATGCTCTATAGAATAAAATCAAGCTGATCCAAATGAATAAATGAAAGCATAGAACAAAAGATTTTATTTCTAAGCTATTTATTTTGTATCACAAATGATCTAAAATATTTACTTGATTTAAAAATCATCCTTAGTATTGTAATTAGAGATAAAAAGCAGCCTGTGAATAACTTCTAATAATTTTTAAATAAAAATCATTGCTCATTTTTTACCTGACCAGCTTCACTTATTTTTCTCTAGAGTAAGAGGGAAAGAGATGCTGACTCAAAAAAGCTTATTTATTAAAAACTCTTTTTACTAAAAATGTTACTTGATAGCAAATGTTTATCTGAAATAAATCAATTTCTAAATTTTTATATTTTTCTACTTAATTACATCAAAATTACTCATTTTAAAAATTTTCTACCAGTGAATACTGGAAGATTTTGTATTTGTTTAATATTTTCTAATGTCTAGTTCAGAATTAGAGGTGATCAGTAACCCATTGTACCCATGTGTAAATTTCATTTCTTGCACAATTATTGTTATAAACAGATTCTTGGAAATGCAGCTTTATGATGAAAGATATTATGGAAAACCCAGGTCCTCAAATAACATCATTTTATTCAATATTGGCCAGTTTGTTTTCTTTCTCATCTGTGCTGAAATGAAATAGCTTTGAATACAACCAACATATCCGAGGACCTGCTGTATGTGATCATGGCTGTATCTGATACAGTATCTATGATGAATATTTATTATTTCCTCTATAATAAATGCATCCTGATTTATAGTTCACCTTATAATTTTCAGGTTAAATTCAAATAAAGCTTACTTCATACTCATGCTTCATTTATTCACTCATTTATTCATTCTCCAGCTTATAGGTCAGGCACAATAACCCCCCCCCAAAAAAAAAGAAAAAACTTCCTAAACTAGAAGCAACATTTATAAATTCCATTTGTCACTCATCCATTTTATTATATTAAACACTAAATATGATAAACATACAGAATTATGTACTATCTGTCCACCTTAGTATTGCTACCTTACTACCAAAGGATTTCTTTGTATGAAGGAAAGTATTGGTTGAAAATAGTCATATATACACATAAGTAATGTTGAAATTGTCACAGATTTTTGAAAACATGGATTTGTTTTCAAAAAGAGAGATTAAATATAACCAGTTACTATCTACATATGAAAAACAAAAATTAGGTAGTATTTACTATTTCCATTCCCATATTTCCTAAATATTTTCCTAAAGTTAGTGATTACCCCCCTCCTATTTGGAATTTTTTTCTAAATCTTTATAACATCTTTGATTAAAGTCTTTTAATTCTACTTCCATTTTATAATCAACAACTATATGCAAAATAATGAAGAAAAATTATAAACCTGACTGATAAACAGCATTTGGACTTTGCAATTTCTTAAGTTTCTCCTTTCAATTTTTTAAATCTTGCAGTTTTTTGTACTCATAGCCAACATTGTTCACATCAATTCTCATTCCCATCTTTATTTTTCTGCTCTATTTATGTGAAGTATAAAAATGGAATAAAATATAATTGATATGATTTATGCAGAAAGTAATATGTAAATCCAGAAGTTAATAATTGCTCTATGTATTTTTTGAGAAGGAAGAATCTCAAATTTTGGCTATGAGCATCAGGCAGGGCACCTGAAGAGAGTGTGGAGTTTTCATAAGCAAAGATGGTGCAAAACCTCTGGAAAGATACATTGCCACAGGAGCCCAACTTCGCCATGCACCATACTTCCCTACCTTCCTTGATCCTCTTAGTCTTCATTCCCTCCAACTGATCCCTTCCCAATATCCTTACAAAGAGCAAATAAAGGGGACTGGAGCAATAGTACAGCAAGTAAAGGCTTGCCTTGCATGGGCAGACCCACATTCAATCCCTAGCACCGTGAACACACCAGGACTGATCCCTCAGTACAGAGCCAGAAGTCAGCCCTGAGCATAGCTGGGTGCACCCCATTCCTGGCACAAAGAAAATCAAATATTTCTAAATTCCTTTCCCTACCTTCTCAAACAGTAGCCACATCTCTCAAATTGTGCATATCCACTGCTAGACTCCTCCAGAGACTTAATTATCTCTCCTCCTGACTCAGTCCCAACCAAGCTTCCTTCTACCCTGTCAGGGTGCCTAGTGAAAGGCTTTTCTGCTTGTCGTTATCCTCCCAAGCTTCATATTCTTGTGCTTGTAGTGTATATTATCAGTTAAGTAGCATTTATTCAAAGGCCCCTCCAGCAATATTTGAATCTGTTAGCGTTCTCCTTTCTGGCTTCTGTTCTCACATTCTTCTTAAATGCAACACCTCCATTTTCAACTGGCTGATCTTCTAACCTATTTCTAGGCTTAGACTGAAAAGTTTTCCTTAGGAAATTTTTCCAGTCACAGTTTATACAGTTTCCCTCTGAAGGTCCAACTAGGCTTCATTCTTATCCCCTGCATATCACTATCATCTCAACCACAAATAATGATGGCCAAACTGTTCATGCGCCACTCTCTAAGATGCTGCCTATCTTGTCTTTTCCTTAGAAACTTGGATGTCTTTTGACCACTTTCATAGCAGGTAGAAAGAATGTTATGCAATCAGTGCAGTGCCAGTTCTAGGCAAAGTCGGCAATAGCAGTTGCATTGGAATCCTAATCAGTAGCCGTCATAATAGAAATCCAGCAGCCTTGGGGTCTTATTCTGAGCCTCAAGCCCCTCCAGCTGCTTTTCAGATGGCAGCATTAGAGATCCTGGATCAGATGCCTAACCATCACACAGCTCCACAAAGCAAGCAAGCAGAAAACTGTTGTTTCACATACTAGGTTTTCAGATGTTTTATTTCACAGTGATTAATTCAGAGGTCAGGCGCCTAAACTCAATTTAGAAGAATGGATTTATTATTTTAGTTTGCTCACCAAAAACTAAATACTATTATTCAAAGATTTTCCAAATTCTTTAAATAATGTCACCACCATAGAGGTCTTGTGAGAACACAGAAAATATTCCAATCTCCTCTTTAACTGTCGACAACTACAGCGAATCATTCAATCCTACTAGTGTCTCTTCAAAAATATCCTTCAAAAACTACAGCTTTTCTATCTACCAACATTGGCTTGGGAGGGTCTCAGAATTTAGCTACCTATTTTTCTTATCTATTTTCATAGCTCCTAAATTTTTCTCAACTTCAGTTACAAAACAACGAACAAACAATAGCAAATCCTAAACACCTATTTCCAAACCACGATCATTAGCTTCATCTAATTCCTTTCCCTATTCCTCCAGACACCCTAGTCCTCGCATGAATCTCCCTGGATGCTTACATATTTTCCTTACCTCTGCTTCTTTGCCTGTGTAGATTACTTTGCAAGTGTTTTGCTGTATCTGTTGAGTTTCTTCTCAAGTAGTTCTTTAATCAGATTTTTTTCTGATATTGTCCAGAGCCGTTTGCTCTTTCAGGTCTCTGCTTGCAAGTCTTTACTATACCTTAAAGTGCACTAAGTTTTCTTCAAGGGATTTCCTTCTTCACCCCCCCATCATTTCTCTTGTTTTCT